CAAGGAGGACTCAAAGGAGAGCATGGAATGGATTGTGTCTTGTACCAAACACGATAGGATCTGCTTTCAACAGATTAGAAATACAGAATTTTTCTTACCAGTCCATTCCTCGCCAGCGTCCCCATTACACTTACCTCTGTAGGGGCTGCAGTGCCTGTCAATCCTCCTTTCCCAAACTCACGGATCTTGCACATTGATAAGGCAATTGCAGAAACATGACAGAAGGGGCACTAGATCTCATTGATTTGTCTTCCCAACAGAACTCAATTTCCTTTTGCTGTCAGCCTCTTAAATCCCTTTGAGAAATGCTTAGAGTATACTGTTAGAAAACAGATTTTTTTTCTTAATATCTGGTAAAGCTAAACTTGAATCGTAATTGTACAGTACAATACACAACAGCCAGAATATCTTTATTACTTAGGAAACTACGTAGTACGAAATTTTTTCTACAGCACAATATATTTATTGTGACCCATATTTACATATTCTATAAGGCTACATGGAAAGATATAAAATTTTAATCTTATACAATAGCTCCTTTAAAAACAGGCTTGACACCATCATGTTTAATATGGAAAGAGAAAAATCCGTAAGACTTTAGACCTTGTCTCTCCTCCTCTTCCAATCCCACAAGAAGAATAAAAAGTTATTTTAGATGGTATTTTTGTGAAAATATTTCGAGCTAAGAGGATGGCCGCGGGAGGGGGAGAGGGGGACGCGGGCAGCTGGGCATGCTCAGGACAGTGCTCACCATGACCAGCTCTTTCTAACCCCACCTCAGAAAGGACGCCCACCGTTCACCCTCCACTCGCACCAGCGCAGGCAGAACTAGGTTGGACCAGAGGTTCCCGGACCCTGCAGTCCCCACTCAGAACACCGCATCCCCAAATCCACATTAAAGCTCCACGGAGGCTGATTTCTGTCCCAAAAGCCCTGTCCTACCAAAAAGCCCCTTTGTTCCTTTAATTCACATGAAGATCTGGGAAAAACAACAACTGACAGCTCTCATGAGCGCAGCGCTTGAGTCGATGAGAAAACAAACATTTGCTTTTCCTTCACAACATTTCTATTTGAGGACAGCGAGACCTCCACCCCCGGCACTCACCCCGACGGCAGCGGCTGGGGCGACTTATCCCGCACAGCCGTCACACCCTGGACGCGGGGTGGGCTGCAGGCTGCTTTGCTGCGTCTACGCCGTGGGCTTGCGCAAGCGTCCTTCAGGAAGGTGAAGACAGCGATCTCTGACCAACAGCGTCATCTTCATGCGAGCACAGTTGCGGCGACAACACTGTGCTTTTACTGGAATCGTTTGTTCCATTCTCGGGGGCTGGTTTGGCGACAGCAGTAACAGTGATGAAAACACGGCTCCAGGAGCTTCGGTACCTGGATGCAGCTTCTGCGGAAGAGCCACACTGCGTGGCAGCACACTGAAACACCCACCCCATCTCCCAGCAAAACAAGCCATCCCAGGAGAAAGCGTAGTTTTACTATTCGAAGTCAGGTATCTGCAGTAAGCGATCATCAAACCCCTCCCACCACACCGCGTGTGGAACACACTGCCGTCTCCCAAAATACCACGTTCAACTGACTTCACAATTTTTCACAAACCAGATACAGGCTCGTCCATGCTGGCAATCCTGCCCTCCTCCATGGACTCACTCCGACCACATTCGGGGTACCACACACACAGAGCATATTGGGGCTGGGGCCACAGGAGCTCTGGATATGCCATTCCCCTGGCTCCAGAGGATCAAGTTAAATGCCTCCCAAAGATGCTCTCGCTTCTCACATGCAGTAACACTAAGGGCAATAATACCGTAGTATCAGCAACAGATTTTTTTCATAGTAAGGGGAAAAAGTTGTAGAGGCAGAAATGCCTTTTACTGTGGCGCAGACTTTTAAAGCACTGTACTTAAAGCTATTTATATGATATAGTCTAAGAACTGCCCTGATCCCCACTAAGCTATTCTGGTATATCAGCTCTCCATTTAACACCTTGACATCAAACCACATCCTCAGTTTAATACCTAAGACACGAGGCATATTTCAGGGTGTTTGCTAAAGTACTAAAGGTTATAAACTAACTGATGCTGCTGCTCCAGATGAAACGGACCATTAACAGTTTGCATTTATAAATCTGACAGGTAGCACATTTAACTGCCAATAATTGTTTGCAAACAAATAAGAGGGGGTAAAGCAAACTTTTGTGCAAGCACAAAGGTAGGGGGATTAATTCCTATAGGGCCACTTTATAAAAAGGTTTCAGACTTCAAAGGCTGAAGAACAGAAACGTTGCACTTTCTCTGCAGGAAGTAAAACCAAAGCAGCAAGACTGAACAGCTACTCAAATTAAAGCTACACAGACCTTAAAAAGGTGAATTTGCAAACAGAAAAATAAAAAGGAAGAAATCCGCAACTGGGGATTCCAATAAAAAGAAACAGAACAGATATGTAAATCCCCAAATGGCAAACTAAAACAGAGGGAGGATTTGGTAATAATGAGATAAAAGTGCAATCAGAAAAGAAGTATTTCTAAATTCCACAAACCATGTACTTTCACTTTTAAAAAAACATTACTGTTGAAGCGTTTTAAGCAAGCAAAAAAAGCAGAGGAGCTGTAAAGGAAGGGAGGAGGGCACTGCACTCCACAGGGAGGGCCAGGATCTCCATCATGTTTGTTATTACTCAGACACTGTTAGGACAAGAGCTGAAACCTGCTCTAAGGCAGGTTCCAGTAATTAATGAAAAAGCATAACAAGAAATTGCTGAAGCTCGGAGCTCACTCCCATCTCATATTAACAGGGAAAAAAATATGTGGCAACAAAAGTAAAAGCATAAAAAATTCAACAAGCATTATTTGGAATTAAAATAGAATTGTATAAAGTGTATTACAGTATGTTCTATCATTTCAGAAGTAATAACATATTTATAGATCATTTATTACATAGTGATAACCTGAAAGGAAGGAAATAGATATTTAATCCACGTACAATATAAAGAAATAATAGAGCAGAAAAAACACTTTCCCATTCAATAACATTCTAAAGATGCTTTTTAATTAGACATTTAAGCATTAAACATTTCTCAGTAGTAGGTTAAACTACTAAATACAGTAAGTTTCAGTGCATTGTCCAAGCAGATGTGGAAATGCATACACATTCAAAGGGCTTTGTGGAAACCTAGTATTAATCCCCTCAGTTTCCTCAAACACAGAGCAAACACTGCAGTTACAGAATTTCTGGCCTTCATTTATTAGACCAAGAACCAGTAAATCCTCCAACTATTGGTAATGCAACACTGTCAACCTGCTGAATTCGAAAATCAAGCCTGTGTAAATATTCTCGTAAGCAGGGGGAATTTACCCGATTTCTCGATACTGTTTAAAGTAAGCCCCACTTCATCTGGGTAAGAAAAGCAATCATCATTCTCCTCTCACACCTACAAACACTGCTGCTCAGGGCTGACCAAAGCGCGTACAACTGATGGTACACCTCCAGTGCTGCCATAAAAAAAGTATCCCAAAAGACACATATGCAAAGCTTATCTTAAAGAGTCGCCTTTTCCACCATCATCTAAAGAAGAGGGAAGAAAATATGTGAAACATTTTAAAATTAGCTAAGAGTAGCTCTTTAATAGTGGTCGGCTGCATTCAAATGGAAGTCCATCTCCCATCGCCCAGGGTTAAAAGCCACGCAGAATGAAATGCTTGGCAGAAATCTTGGGTGATCATTTCTTAATTGGTAGCAGAAGGGGCTGTAAAACTGTAATGGTGGCAACAGCTCTGATGTGAAATAGGGCAAAGCAGCAAGTAAAGATTTTTTTACATAAGAGAAACGTATTCATTTCATCTCCATTAAGTACAGGGAGCTATCGGAACTAAATCTAGGAGAGAGAGATGCACATATGGGACTTGTCTCCTGACATACTGCTGTTATTTCCTACGAGCAGACTGGGACTAAAAATCACCTCATCTGTGACTCCTCCATGAGAAGAATTGGCACATGGTTTTGGCAGCTACAAGCCTGACAGCAGACCAGGCATGCCACTCTGGCTAGCAGATGCACCATTGTGGTAACCCCACGTAAATCAAGCTTTCCGAAACGCTGATCATAAAAAAAAAAAAAAAAAAAAAAAAAAAAAAAAAAAGAGAGAGAGAGAAAATGAGTTCAAGTGCTGGTGCTTTATCTTTAATATCTAGAGAAGCCCATCAGCAGGACACGGGAGGTGCAACGCAAGGAGCAGCATCTGCTCCCGCTCCAGCCCCACGGTGGCCACGCTGTCCCACGCGGCTTTAGGGCTCTGCCCAGCCCTCGCTGCGGGAGGGCCCCAGGGGAGGAGGGTGCTCCGGTCTCGCTTCGTTTTTCTATGTTGCTGCTTTCTTAGTCGAGTTGGGAGGAATACTGATGCAACAGAATAACCTCCCTCGTTGGGCTACATCTTTAAAGGTTTACTGAAAAGAGCACTTATTTGGGGACAGAATAAAGTATGTCTTAAATGGACATCTTGGTTGATATTTCAGAATCTGTATTCAAAGATACTAACATATTTGAGATATTAGTGATATTCATCACACCCGTGTTATGCATGAGATATCTATACCGCTATTATAACATCAGTCTTACCAAAAGAAGAAAAGTAAATCATCTGAGAAACTGAAGATCACATTTAGGTTATCCCACAAAATCAGCATAAAAATAAAAACTTAAACCTGGTATTTACAGATTAACGAATAAAAATATGAAGTGGGACTATCCAAACTGCTATTAAAGTGACATTCAGCAATTAACTGGAACCCTGATATGAGTGTAACATCCTCCCTCTTCCCTTCCTTTTTTGTTATAAAAACAGTATTTACATTTTTTTTTTTTTTTTAAAAGAGAACTGGTTGACATTATTGCTTGATCCTTTTTAGGAAAGACATTCCAATGAAGCAATTATTCCACATGCTGACAAAACACAGAATATACCATTTCAAGAGTGACAAAAGTTAACATTTTGTTCATCTAAAAATTATATTAATCTGCTAGGTCAGCAGATCACATGTAAATATAAGCCAATCAAAAATACATTTTACAAAAAATAATCAAGTTTCCTTTTTCAATATGGCAGTAAACATGATTTGTTCTTTCACTCTCACCTTCCACAAACTTCATTCTAAATAGGAGCTTACTATTTTTTCACAAAAAAAAAAGATAAATTTGATTAAAATTGTTATTTTCATAAACAAACACAAAGCCTTACACCTGACATGCCTACCGAAAGTCATACTTCCGAGTTGCTGAACATCTACATAGAAATGCAGTCTTTGTTCAACAGCGAGGGGACTTTCCTGGTGCACAGCACTCCTAGATCAAATATTACAATCTTTGAAGACTTTCTGAAGTGCTAACTATGAACCACTGGTTCTTCTTCCAGGCAGGTCTAAAGTGACTATCCTCCCATATCTGAAAAGATACAGCTTTGTATTTGACTATGAATATTAAGCAGCTTTCTCCACAAAACAGGAAGGCACCATGCACATAGCAGTTGAGGCAGGAAGCAAACAGCAGCAACATGACATGTGAATTTTAGGTTCAGATGAGTTAAGGCTTCTGTTAAACTTCTTTATCTTCTTCTAGTTAGAATCACTCTCTGGAAAGAAAAAACAGAAGCAACTAAAGTAATGGTATGACATGGTCAAGGAAGCACTCAGACCCCTCTCAGTATATGTAACAGGAAAGCCCCCACAAATGCATATTACTATTGTAGTGTCGTCTTGGTCTTGTCCTATTCAATGTGCTAAATGCTCAAGAGCTGCCCAGAATATGCTGAAACAACATACGCCAAGGTTTACAAAATGTGTGCAAGCCCATTATTCAGTGTTCTCGCTTGATGGCAGCACTATGAAATGGCAGCACAAACAAACTGAGTGTTGTTAAAATAAAATTATCTGCAGAGAATCAGTGAAACTGTATCACCTGGGAATGAAAACGTCACTTCTATGAAACCTGCTCTGAATTCTGCCCCAACACAGAATTACTTTACATTCCTGGGTGTATATTTCAGGGTAAGTCTGTTTTAATGTTTATGCTTACAGAGTTGTTATACTGACACATTAAGGAAACATTTTCCACCTGTGTTTTTATCACTGCATACTTTCATTTAGCAAAGCCCCTCTTTCTGTCAGAAGATACCTTTTCAAACCTGATTCTCATAATGGCTCTGTCTCTTCTTTGATTTCAGCTCCTTCAGCCACTGAGGAGACTTTTCTTCTGACCTAAGATATTAAAAAAATACTCTTTATTCTTTAATTATGAAAACTCATCACAGAAACAAAAAAAAGAAATATACAATTTCCCCTACAGCCTTGGAAAGCCTACTTGCATTATTTTTTTTTTTCCGCCAAAACGAGTATTAGCATCTTTCTGATACTGGTGGAAGTCTCTCACCTGTCCTCCTTCTCTACACTGGAGGGCAGCAGTCTGCTACCAGGAGTTCCAAGCTGCAGTTGTGGTTTAGGGGATTTGAACAGCTGAGGAGAACTTATTTCACCAGGACTCTCAGACTCTTGTCTTTTCCGCAGTTGGGCCTAAAAAATAAAAATAAAGAAAAGAGCTCCTTTTTAAGGTAGCATTCTGACTTTTTTTGGAACACAAAACAAATAACTCAGATTTATTAAAAAAAAAAATCCATTCCTGAAATCAGTGAAGGGATTCCTTATAAACCTATACAGTTTTGAAAGCATGTTTGCTATTGCAAAGCTAATTTTTTTCCAAATCAGTTAATATTTCTAACCAACAGTTAAAAGCAAGAAAGATAACTGCAAGGTTTTTCTACACATCACCCCCACCCATCTCAAACAACATTGTCGTCTTCAGCAAAATTTCCTAGCTTTACTCCTAGAGAGCATCTGCAGCTACCGAACTGGTCTAACTCTCATCTGATGTGTTCTGCCTATGATCACCTTGAGAACAGAGTGGTCCATTCCTGGAAATACGGGAAGTCTCTGAGCTTGTACAGAAGGCGATCTCACAGTATGCTGTATCTTGTCTTCCTCATCAGAATCTTCCTGTTGCATAGTTTTCTTCTCTTCTAATTAATTGTTTAAAAAAAAGGCAGAGGGGGAAAAAAACATTAGTCAGCAGGCTTTTCAGCTATACCTTGTTCTAGGTCTCCTTCCATTCAAAAATGTGTTAACAGTAATATTACTGCACTACAAGACTGGGTTCAATGCTCCAATAGAGACCAAAGCAACAAACATACCAAGTACTCAGCAATAGAAAGATTTCTTGCTGACAGAGGTGAGGGAGCAGAAGGTACTCCTAATTTAACGAATCTGGTGCTTCTAAACATCTCACATTCTGCAACCATCTGAGATTAATTGAGATTGGAAGAGACATCTGACTTTATCTGGTCCACCCCTGCTCAAAGCAGGGCTTTGATACAAAGAGACTGAGTAGCAGAAGTCTGCACACTACAGGGAAAGATGCAATGGTATGGTTGGCTTTACATGCACTGGGTCTTTAGTTGATAATTACACTCCAGCTTCCAGTACAGCATTTCTTATTAAGGTAAATCTTCAAAATATTTTAGGTCTGTTAGACCTGCACCAAAGCAACCACCACACAGATAACAATCTTCCCGCTGATTAGGAGGCTACAGAAGAGATCAGTTTGATCACACATTCTTCCTGATATTCATAGGCTTTAAGGGAAAGCAGAAATGGCACATCACAAAACTGACTTTTTTAATAGGTCCCCTCAGTTACAAAAAATCACCAGCCTCTCTAAAGAACAGGCTGCAACACCAGTAATTCCTCCGCTCAGGGAATATCAGGATATCTGCAGCATATATCACCATAGCACCAAAGTGCTGTGGGTACTAAATTGTGGATCTATAATGAGTGTGTGCATTAAGCCATTCATTCACTTCCATGAGCAAGGATTTTCAATGCCCGATGCATTTCCTTATTGCATCCTAAGGAATAGGAGAGGCCAGGAGGGGGACATTTTTAATAGAACGGATTTGAGGGAGTTAATTTATCCTTAACTAGGCCTCTTTAGTCCCGTACTACTTACAGATGCTAGAAAGAAAGAATATTTATGAGCACCTATAGAATATGAACAATTACAGTTGCTCTTATCAATAATACACAGGCTTAGATATAAAGAGTGTGCTAGAGAATGCATCCAACCACAGCAGTTTCTAAACTCAGTATTTTCTCAATAACCAAAATTCTCTTAAGTCAGCAGCCAGAAACTAAAGGAAATTGCATCGAAGCTCTCCTTCGTCCTGGTCTTCTGTACATCTGGTTACTGCAGCTTCCCTCACCCCAAAGGCTCCAACGAATGGAGGGCAAGACCTGGTTTAGAGGATGACCAAGAGGTGGGAAAAGGAAGCTATTGTTAAATCCTGATGCAACTTCATTTAGAAAGTCCTGCCCTTACAACCAAGTTGATTACAGATAATTATTTCAAATAGTTGAGGGATACCTGTGGAATCTTTAAACATCCAGGTATTATCTGGTTCTTCCGTCAAAGAAAATCTGTTTTCAAACTCCAGCCCTCTGCTTCTTCTAAGAGAGTGGGAAATAGGAGCCCGACGCCGTCTCTTTTTGCTGAGCTGCACACGAGTTTTCAGCGCACTGGAGTCCAGAATAGTGGTTTGCTATAAAAAGAAACAAAGCCTTTACTTCAACCAGCCTGAAAATAACAGTCATCTCCTCCATAATGATTTCCCAACCTACTTTATCGCATTAACCCATTCAGTTTAATTAAACTACATATATTTGCCTGATTATTATTCTTGTAGTTACTTAAACTATATTAAAGAGAATTTACGATGAGGATATGCTGCATTGTGGCTAACTGGGTGCAATGCTGGTTCTTTGATCTCTCTTGGCTGTGGATGTCTGATCTGCATGAATTATTTTCACTAAGTTAATTAAAAAATAACTGCAATAAATAGGATTTTGGTTCCTAGTGTGTTTTAAGAGTTTTAAGAATACAGGCCTTGCTAGCTGGTAACAGCTGAAGGCCAATAAGAAGATTGGGATCTAAAAAGAGCGACTACACAAAATTCTCTTGTGGTAGAGTGCTGTCATTTCATTGTTCTGACGGGTTGCCATCCACAGAAATTTCAAGCCACTCACCAGCAACAAGGAGACCGCAAGTTAAGTGTCACAGCATTCAGAAAATTTCTGTGATCAGTCATTTCAAACACATCCATCTCTGTGCCTGATGGTAAGGCAGTAACATTTACAGAGCAAAAGGAGGAGCTGTAATTTATTTATTTATTTAAAGCAATTTGTTGTTAGAGACTTGCCTGTAATCAGCAAATATCAATGAGCCTCCTCTTCTTCTTCAGAAGATGTGTTTTTATTTCTTTGCAAGAGATTTCAGGTCAGGAATAAACTACTCAATAAAACAGCATATTGCCAGCTGTACTTGAAGCTATTAATGTTTTAAAGAGACACCTTTAGCTGTCCAGGGAACAGCATAATACAGGACCACCTCCCCCACCTGCTGACCACTAACAGACAGAGACAAAATGCCATCCACGCTGTTCTGAGCTACTAACACTTCCTCTACAGAGCAAAAAGTGCACTTGGGATATCCTGCCAAAGGATTATTAACTGATACCAGGACCACGGCATATGCAGTTAGGGATCTTAAAGCAATGGACCGCCAAACGTGGCCTCTGCTTCAGAGCCGGAGTGGGCTGGAAGATGAGAGCAGCAGCTACTTTGGCAAAACACAGGTTTCTGCAGTTCTCCATAGATGGCAACACCAGTGGAGAACAGAGCTGGCTGGAGGCACTTTCGAACAGCCTACGCAGGAAGCAGCTGCGATTTTAACAGTCAATTCTGCTGCACCAGACTAAACTGCCTCCAGCACAAACCTGCTTGCATCCTTCATACGTTTTACAGACCAGTTTGCTCCTCAATTCAGAAGGCGTTATGGCACTTCAGCAGGCAAGGCAGTGCATCCGAGACCTTCCTAGCAGCTGCACGATCCAGGTAAGTTGGGAATCTTGCACTTACCAATATATCTGTCATTAGACATCATATAATTAAAAAAAAAAAAAGTGCACCAACTCTTACTGAAGAAAAAGCAGTACTTCCTAGATGTTGTACTGAAAAACTACAGTTGTGTTAGTGCTTTCAAAGAACACTAAACCTCATCTAACTGTGTATGGCCAGAAATTACTGTTCTTATACTAGCTGCAAGGTTCTCAAGTATGAAAAAAATCCTTTAAAATGCACTTGTAAGCTACTACAGGAAGAGACAAATTGTAAGTAAGAAAAGTATTAGTAAATGTCTTTATAGCCTTGAATCTGCATGGCTCATACCACAGCAGTCACTAGTTATTTGTGTTATTTAATTATGTTTCCAATGTTCATAAAGCCATTTAACTCTTCCGTTACAGCTCACTGAGAAGCAGAAAGAGAAACAGCAACTTTATTAAGCCACTGGCAGACATTATCCAATGCCAATAGCTTTTTAGAATCTCTCAGAACCTAAGCATTACAGGCACTAGAAGAACTTTGTAGCTTTGATCTTAAACTTTTCAGGCAGGAAGTCAGCTGGGAAAATTCGATGTGATACAGAAAAGACAGAGGAAGATTGAATGCAAAGCTTCCAGAAGATACTGCTTTGCAGTGATTAACGCAGGTAACAATATAGTTAACATAGAAGGAGAACTTCTGTTTCCCATTATGGTAACTTACATGAATGAAAGAGAAATCAGTGGTCTTTTCATCAGGGTAGGTGTCTCCCAGAGGAGGTAAATCAGTCCCATCAGTAGAGTCCATGTCAGTGCTGGAACGGTCCAAGCTTGTGCTCCTTTGGTCTTTTGAGAAGTCATGGTGATCAACCAGGGAGGCAGGTTCCGTTTGAGAGGACAGTGAAGACGGGTGGCTATTTGCAGGTTGCTTTCTCGTTGAAATGACATCATTTTCCAAGGAAGGAGATTCAGGCACAAAGCTGCAAATTAAGGAAACGAAATCTATGAGACTTCAGGGTAAACAAATACATGCAAGGATAGTTTAGATCACGCATACTCAGCAGATGATAAATAAAGGTAGAACTGAAACTACGGCTACAAGTAACAAAGGCATCTTTGGAGGCAGCAGGTACCAGCAACAAGGGTGTGGATCGCTTTCGTTATCACAGCTTTTTACCCATGTGGATCTACAGTGTATTGAATAATGCAAGTATGCAGATAAATTGTAATAATTTGATTGTAACATGCTTTTATTGCTTGGGGTTTCATTTCCCCACACAAAGGTCCCTTCAAACATATGCATGCAAACAAGACGAGGGAAATAGCAAGCTGCTTAAAAGCCGTAAGCAATTTGCCCATTTGATATGTAACAGCAGCAGACCTTACATTTTGGCACTGTATATATTTGAACACATTGTGAAGAGTAACTGTTAAAAGATTCTTCTCCTTGCTCACTCAAAACTATCTTAAATACATATAAATGCATATAAATACAAAACAGTAACTACTCTTTTACTCTAAGTGAATTCCTGCAGGATACTACAAGCTACTTGCAGCCCTTCCAAGAACACACCTTACAAACACCTCTGTTGTTCACGTTCCCATCTTTTCCCTAGGAGGGCGCTTTTTAATATATATCTCTCTCTCAAAAGTATATTCATATCATATTTATTTTAATTCATACTCATCTATT